ACATAAATATATTATAAAATAAAACAAAAACTCAGCAACATCTAGTCGCTGGTACAAAATCAAACCAAATAGCCTGCTTCTTGGATATGATTTCAAAATCGGGATTAATAAAAAAAGAAAACATCAACTATCAAAACATTCAAATTATTCAAAGTCCAATTTTCCATTAACTACAGAAAATTCCACATAAAATAAACAAAAAATGGTCAAATAAAAACAAAATATATTCAACATGCTACACACTTCAAAATGGAGATATTGTTAATCAAAGATATTCAAGTTTAACTGGAGATAAATATCTTTGCTTGACAATAAAAATAGGGGGGGGGGGGGGGGGGGCTTTAGAGTAAGTTTGTTATTGTGATTTAGAATATAGATATCTCTTATTGTATTTTACTAAATAGGATTTTTTAAAGCATATATTATGACTGTACAATGTGCATGCCCATATAAGGCAAAAGCAACCACAAAACCTCTTTTTTTCATTATTAAAATTTGTAAAAACCTCTAATAAAGCCCCCTTTTTAAATTTTGTCATTAGTTATGACTTTTAACTCAAATTTATAAATTAATTTGGTTTTAAATAAAAACTGAAGATAAAATAATATATTATAACAACATAAAACGATCAAACTGGGGTGGGATACTTTTCCAAACCATTAAAAAATAAATGAATTATGGAAAAGATTTTTAAAAAATAACACAATTAATTTTTGCCTTTAAAATCTACCAGAAGCCTATTTTCCAAGGGAAGTTAACTATTTGCATCATCAATGCTCTGGTTTGTTAGTTTGAAAAACTATCCCTCCCGAAACTTGGCAATTATTGTATACAACAGCAAGCTATTTACACTTTTCAAAATTTGCAAACATTTGTGTTTTTGTGCAGCGAAAAAGTATTAACAGTCTAATGTGTAATTACTTATGAGCTCAAATACAGCTGTCTAGTATCATAAATATGCATTTTATGATATACCTACTAAGCCTTCTAACATATTGGATTAAATCTTGTTAAAGGAACTTTATTGCTCTATCTCAATCTTGATTCAAAGTTCGTCAATGTGTGGTACAATATGTTGATTGAAAATTTGAAAATTGTTGAAATTGTGACTTAATACTCATCCATAAGCACAAGTTTCAATTTATTTGGTAAAATAATATAACACAATATAAATTATTATATTTACATTATAAATAATATAAATAAACAAAATCAGGTTCTTTTACCCTTTTATCAAGACATTTAATGAATAGGTGAATCAAAAAGCAGCAAAAGTAGCCATTTGACTACTACATGCTACATATTTGCTTCAAAAAGTCTATAAAACTTTTGTCATCAGCAAATGCAAAATGGACATGATGATGTACAATGATTATTATTTTTCACAATGATTGTCTTGTGGACGTAGATCAGAAAATCCAGCTCTGGTTTTTTCAGTTCAAGTTCATTATTTATTATCATAATCCTGCTTATTTTCAGATGATGTTTTTTATTCCTGAAAATCTTATACCTTGACTTGACTGACATTTAATTACATGGTAGTAAAAATAATAACACAAACAAAAACATGCAATAAATCTAAGAGCCATTTTGTAGAAAGATATCACTGACCTTTCAAGTTTTGTAAAATATTTTTACAAAATAAATTTTAATTCATAATTAAATGTCAAGGTGAAGTCAAGAAAAAAATTTGGATTTTCAGTTTTCCACAATATGGCTTCAGATAATAAAAAAAATCATAAAACCAATCAAACTTAGATTGAGAACAAACTAAACTGAACAAAATCGGGATGGCAACAAAAAATTGTAAAAAGTGGCAGTTTCTGATTAGTCAACATTCATTTCAGCACAAATAAAACATATTTGAAAAGATTGTTTAAAGTTTCACAAAATCTAAAATCTAATTGCTGATTCAGCAGATTTGACTGTTGCTGATTATTGTAAAATGAGGACTCAACTGATATGCTTCTCAGAAACTGTTCACGATTTAAAATAATTTAACACAAAATTGAAAGGAAATTGCACTCTAACACCATTTAACAATCAGTCTTTCCTTGCCAACAATTATTGGCAAGGAAAGATAACTCTAAACACAAACACCAAAAAGGAATAATCTAGGATACCTGGATAATCTCCATGCTCCCGTGTAATGAACTCTGGCTTCCATGAAGTGAACTGTGACTCCCATGCAACGAATGTAGGGAGTTCTGGCTACCGTTAGATGAGATGCTGCTATTAGACTGATAGGGATCCGAGGATCCACGACATCGAGACTGGAGACCCTCCAGATAACGTCTTTTCGTGTCATTTTCTGATTGTATCATATCGTCCATACTGCGAACTTTCCGCGATTGATCCATCGCTTGGAATTGTAATTTTGCATTTTCCATTGCTGCACTTATTTGTTTATAAAACTCACGTTCAGAGCAATGTCCAAATAAGGATTTTTTATCAGGTGACAATTCACTTGGTTTTGATTTTTTACTGCTGCGTAGCATGTAAGCTTCCGAGGAATCATCCTGAGACGCACTGCTTCCTGATCCTGGCGAATCCTGACAGTCTGAACCAAGATCACACGATGGATAAGTTGAGAATGCGATGCTATTTGGACGTCCCAGAGGTCGTTTGGATTTATTTTCTTGTGAACGTAGGATTACTTTTGATGTATTGAGAGTAGTAGGAGACGCTAGACTGGAATTAGATGGTGAGGAACAATTACTCTCAATCGAGGCTGGTGATGGCAATTCCATGGATTTCTCAGTCGGAGATAATTTCTTGACCTTTTCCTTGCGTAAAATGACTTTGGCAATGTTTGTCGTGGGTGAGGTGGAGGAAAAGGAAGAGGTACAGCTGCTTTCAGAACTGTTACTGCTAACAGACATTGGGGAATGGTTGTCCGATTTGGTTTCACACTCTGTGGCGCTGATATTTCTTTTGGTAGCATTACGCTGACTCATGGAGTTAAAGTCCTCGGCCAGGCATGGAGTAAAGTTTAATTTGTCCAATGAGGTAGCAGGAAAGTTATGTATCTGTGAATTATTTTTAACCACCACAGATTCGGAATTCTCCATCACCGTCAAGAGAGAGAACTCTGTCGTAGGTGATTGAAGTGAACTAATATTCGTACAAGACTGAGAAAAATATTTGTGTCTATTTTTTAATGATTTGAACGACGATGAACCAATAAAACTTGTTTCATCATATTCAGTTCCCTCATGAAGAGAAAAATTTGGTTTTGATCCCATTTTACTCGTATCACATGGTGAGTTTTGCATTGATATGGTTGGTGATCCCTCAATTCTTTGCGAATTTTCAGGAACCGTTTTTAGATTATTAAGTCTGTTTAATTTGCTCACACAGCTGCTCAGAGAACTTCCGTGGAAATTGTAATATAATTCAGACAACATGTTTTCTTGTCCACGCAAATAATTTGTGTTACAGACATTTTCTTGCACATCTGGCACAGTTGACTCTTCAGTTTCAAATAATGAGTTAGAAACAGATTTCTGTCCAAGATGGAAAGACTCCACTCTTGGAGATGAAAGTCCAAGACTAGTTTCACTGTTGGGATAAGAGTGTTCAACTGGAAATCCTGAAAAACTCCTTCGACCATGCGGAAATCCTGACAGTCTGTTATGTCCACAGGGAAATCCAGGTAAATTGCTCTGTCCATTAGGAAATCCCGAATTTGACAACGTACTTTGTCCGCTAGAAAATCCTGAATTTGACAACGTACTTTGTCCACTGGGAAATCCCGAATTCGACGACGTACTTTGTCCACTAGGAAATCCCGAATTCGACAACGTACTTTGTCCACTAGGAAATCCAGAATTCGACAACGTACTTTGTCCGCTAGAAAATCCTGAGATTGATAATGTACTTTGTCCGCTAGAAAATCCCGAATAGGACACACCTTTATTCAATTTTTCAGTGGATTCTGATGATTGTTTGCTAGATGTACCACTATTCCCTGAGGGAAATCCACAATTTAGTCTTTCACTTTGAGACAATGATTTTTCAACGATCACATTTTTGCTTGTACTAGAACCACACGGAAATCCATTAGGAGAGGTCGCAAAATCACTAGGACTTTCTTCACAAAATGATCCTGAGAAACGTCTTTGAAACATCCTGTCATTATTGGGTGTACTTGCAGCACGGAGTCGACTTCGCGTTTCACAACTTAATGACGCTTGACTGAATGACATTGTCCGATCTGGGCCAGTCAATAATCCAGACAGAGAGATCGAAGGGGAGTGAAATGAATCCGGTATGTTTCCCAATCCTCCAAACGTCACTGGACGACTGAGAGGAAAGGATGACACACTCGATGACATTCGATGACACGAAGACAATCCGTTCAGTGACAATGGGCGTCGAATGTTTGATTGTCCAGACCCTGAGTAAGGTTTGATGTTAGATTTACGTTGTAATCCTGATCGAATCATCGGATGACCCCTAGTAGATAAAATTGTAGAGAGTCCTTCCAATGACATTGGTCGTTTCATACGTGAAGTTCGGTGAGGTGGACTGTCTGGGCTGGCAAGTGATGGAGTGGGTCCAGAGATGGGGTTCAGACCCAAAGATAAGGTCTTTGTCGTAAGTGTCAATGATTTGGATTTCATGACAGTGTCTTCATGAACGGACGCAATATTTTCAGTTTTGGAGACAGATTTCGGTCTTCGTAGCTCAACATCGCACATTTCCTGGTCCATATTAGCTTCACTTATATCTGCGGGTAGATTTTCGCGATTCGATACTATTTCAATCGGAACAATTCTTATACGGCTAGAGTCATCATTCATTTCCACATCCTCACACGCCAATGAAGTTTCAGGTGATGATTTTTCTAAATAAGTGAATAGTGATCTATTAACAGACTTGGCTTGTGGAGATGACGGACTAGATGTTTGTAAATCCATGACAAATGGACTCGGCCAACTATTACGTTTACAGGCTTTAGCTTCTCGTTCCAAATCTTCCTCAATATCACCTTGAAGTAACTTTTTCTCATAATCAAGTAGTTGTCCCAGAAAATTAAAATTTGGTGAAATGGTTGGTCTTTTGTCCTTTACATATCTGAAAAATAAGATATTTTGTTTAATATATATTCAATCTATATGTGTTAGGTACAATTTTTTCACATTAATGCACAAAATTTATTAATATCTATTAGGCATTTTCTTAAGCAATCTTTTCAAAAACTTAACAAAATCTGATTAAATTTCAATGATTAATTGTAGTTAATTTGATGAATTAATTGTATTATACAGGGATTCTGTTGTATAGTTATGACACCAGTTAAGTCCACTTATTAATCTAAACTCTTATTGACCAAGTTTTAAGCTTATTCTAAGAGGTAGCGTTCCTTTTAAAAAGTAAATCATTACCTGTAAGCATCTTCTGACATCATTTTAAGATGTCTCATGACATAAGCTATAGCTAGAGTTGGTGATCGTGATATTCCAGCTAGACAATGTACTAAAACACAACCATTAGATTCACGCACCATATCTATAAAAATAGAAATATAACTTTACAATTGATGTATTCTAACAGTTAAAGTATTTTGTTATTGTAATTACATGCATGATATATTCAGTTATTCAGATGAATATCAAAACACCAGCAGTATTTATTCTTTCTTTTATTTCATAAATTATATCTGGATGCTTTCAGAGAATCTATGTAGATAAAGAATAATTATAACGAATAATTTTATCATTTTTCACTTACACACAGAGACATATACAATGTAGTAATAATATAATAACCAACAGATCAAAAATGAATCCTCAAACAATACAAAAGATAGCTCTTTTATAGTATATCACAGAGAAAGAGATTATAAAAACATTTACCTAAGAATTGGAATGCTTCTTTAAAGAATGGTACCATCCTTTCACTATAATTATCATTAATTGGTATTCGTTTAAAATGGGCATCTTGTATATAGGCAGGTTTCGGGCATGTTAAACTTACATTTAATACATAAGTTATACCATTTATCTACAATATGAAGATTTAATATTAGCATGGTGTGTATGTATAACATTGCCTAGCTTGTACAATATAATATAACAATATATGTCGTTCCTAGTGGAGCCATAGTATGCATAACATTCACCACAACTAATGACAGCCAGCGACTGGGTTTGACATCCAATTCGGATAAATGACATAGCTGTTTAATGAAATGGCGAGTCATGTACACCAACCATCCAACAACTGCCTCTCCACTTGCTTCATTCTAAATTTAAATAAATATTGATCAATAGTAAAAACAGGCTGTCTTACCTGTGCTATCTCTTTTGATAAAGCATCTCTCTGTGATCCGAGGTATAAAAAAGGTAGAATTCGTGTTGGTCCGACATTACTAACTGGCATACAAGGTTGTGAGAGTGAGGTCAATGGTGTACACTTATAGCCAGTTGTATCTTTATTTTCTATCAATGATGGGTACATTGCTTGTAGACCTAACAGGCCACCTGTAAATATAAAATAATATATAATTAAATAATAGTTATGACATATATATGTGATATAAATTAAATAATGCTTGAAAACCATGCTACATGTAGGCTACAAGTTAACAGAGTATTATACTGCATAACCATAAGAAGTTGTTTCTTAGGTCTAATTCTAAACGTTGAAATAAACAGGGATTTATTTGCCTGCACTCAAAATATACCAAAAATAATTTTTAGAATTTTGAATGTACAGGAAATAATGATGATAATGATAATGATGAAGAAGATGATGATGATAATTATGAAGAATATGATGATGATGAAGACAATGATAATGATGAAGAATATGATAATGATGAAGAATATGATAATGATGAAGAATATGATAATGATGAAGAATATGATAATGATAATGATGAAGAATATGATGATGATGACAATGATAATGATGAAGACAATGATAATGATGAAGAATATGATAATGATGAAGAATATGATAATGATGAAGAATATGATAATGATAATGATGAAGAATATGATGATGATGACAATGATAATGATGAAGAATATGATAATGATAATGATGAAGAATATGATGATGATGACAATGATAATGATGAAGAATATGATAATGATGAAGAATATGATGATGATGGTAATGATGATCCTCTTTATATCTTGAAACAGTTCATCTTACCACTATTATAATCCATACACGACATTTTATATAATAAATTGTCAAACTGAAATATTAATGGTTATTATTCTCTCCCAAGATTTCACAATACTCAACACTTTGAGTCAACTTTGCCAATAATTTAACACAAAGTTTCAATAATTTACATTGAACATCAATATTCAGGTCCGATACAACACAGTATTCTCTATTGAATAGCTATGCTATAATATTAACTAATATACAAATTGGCTATGGCAGATTCAAACAATAATTATAATAATTACTAGCGATAAATACTACAGTAATTATATTTCTATTGATGTAGGCAAAAACAGCTAATCATTGACGCAATAACACCATTTAGAAAGGGCAATATTAAACACAGTTGCATAATACATATAAATAATAACTATAGAATATTCACCAAAATCACAGAAATAAATAGCAAGTATAATCCATGTATGTAGGACATTATGAGAACAAGTCTATTGACATCTAAATAACACCAAGTGAAGAGGACATTATTATACGTTTTGTTCAATAAAAATCAAAATTCATTTCTTTAACTGTTGATGATAAAATTAAGATAAAGAGCCCACCAGAAGCAATAAATCCAGATTATAAACAAGTGATAAAGATAATAAATTTTGTTAAATAAAAATCAACATTCATTTCTTAAACAGTTGATCACAAAATCAATACATTGTCCACAACAAAATCATATACAGAAAGTCCAAAAATTAAAAATTAAACTTCTTTTTTCATACCAGTTATCCTGATTAATTTGACATCTGAAACATGTGACAATAATAAAGGATGAGTCAATTTGACCTATATTTAAAACATGAGACAAACCTTTACATATCAACATATCTACATACTAAACTATCACAATAAATAAATAAATAACTGAAATACTTTTTGATTGAAGATATATTTCATTTGAATAGTCAATCATCAGTTAATTTCAAACATTCCCCATATTTCCCTACTAGAGGAATATTTTATGTTAATTAAATTTGAGTGATATTGTTTTATGATTAGTCATTTAATAGAAATAGTATGACACTATACAAAATTTTCCCCACATGAGAACATGCTTCCTCGATTTGATCTTGAATATAAAAACATTGAGTTTAAGACAATCAGTAACATGTTAATTAAATTAATTAAAATCAAAAAATAATTCTCCCAATAGAAGAATATGTGATAAACATTAAAAGTATTAAGTATATTTTTAATTAAAAAATTTTTTTTCAACAATTGATGTCAGTCAAAATAATTATTTTTTTCAATGGACAATCAAGTTAAATTATTCAAATACCAATATACCAAGTGAAAATTTACTAATTTTTCTTACCATTCATAGCAATTAATTGGTAAATATCCAAGTACAAAAAACTATTTTATCCAATAGAAAACTATGACAAATCATATCAAAGTCAAGATATTAAGTGAGAAAATTTAGATATTTAGAAAAACATGTTACCTTGTATACAGTCAGCCATAGTATGAATCAGGTGTACTAACCACGAGTTGAACCTAGTGAGAGATTTCCCCCACTGTAATTTAAGATATTAGTCATCACTACACGTTGTACTATATCATATAGCAGTCTACAGGTTCAACACCTTTGTCCTTAATCACTATCAAACAGACATGGATATTAAATAGCCAAATATGGTCTGCATGGTCAATTAATTAATTTAATATCATTTATCTCCCATTCTGATCTGATTTTAAATTTTATTGATCTAGGTTAAATTTGAGAATGAAATTGGGTCACTTGGTCAAATGTCCTGTTTAATACTACATTGTATTATATAACAATTAAATTAATAGGAAAGATTTTAATCAGATTCGATCATGGTTTAGAAATATTTAATGTATGAAAAGGTCCAGAGCCCTCATCTTATTGAAATACATGCTTTCTGATTGTTGTCTATTTTACTATCTAAAGTCAAGCCAAGATATGTACGAACTTCCTGGTTAATTCAAAACATAAACATGAATATTCAACTCTATTTTTAGATAGCGTAAGTAATAAAAGTCTTGTTTGTATTGTTTAAGTTACTATTTATTATGTCCAAAATTTTTCCATCAAACGTAGTCGTGCATAAATAATTTTCCTCAAATATAAGTATGTTGGGTTCGAATTCTGATGACACATCCAGTGCTTTTGAAAGCATTATTACTCAATCTACCTATCAGCGTACATATTAAATGCATATTATATGATAAACAAAGCATAAAGTTCGAAGGGAATTCAATGGTGCTCAACAACAAAGCAAATTCACACAGACTAATATGAACGTTTCAGCTAATTCCGTTAATTTTCTAGAAATAGACTTCCTAATCTACTATAGGACGTCTGAGATTATCACAAATATAAAACTCACAGATAAGTTCACTATATCTTATTCTGAATATAGGTTGTTTACATTATGCATGTGTTTGTTTACATTATGTTTATGTTTGTTTACATTATGTTTATATGTTAGTTTACACAAGTGAATATTGTTTATATTGAATATAAGTAGTTGATTATCAATACGAGCTCCAATTTTACAAACAAAACACTTGATCAGCCGCGTTCTTCTAATGATCAAAACTCAAACCAATACATATATCATAACTTTTAACCAATATACAAGTTGAATTTTACTTAATGATGAGAGAACAGACAAGAAGTGGATCAAATGACACTCAAAATCTTTGTCACTAGACTTAAACAGCACTCTTCAAACACTTAAAACAATGAATACAGCATCACATTTTGCCAATCATACACTTCCATAGCAAAATTTATGACAGCTTCAAATTAGCAATCATCAGTAATTTGGTTATCAAAAAATATACCTATGAATGGTTTGTCAGAAAATTAATTAATGTTCACTATCACTACATCTAACAAGTAACAAGGAAATGTTGACTGAGTTTTACATCTTTCATTTCTGTAGGCTACCTGCTTGGGCTAAAACGGACAGACAGGATGATAAAACCCAAATATTAGAAAAATAATCATTATCTCATAAATGACACTCCAATCTGTTTTTGGAAAATCATTCATAAGATTACTCATTGATGCCACGTTCCCAAATATTTACAAACTTCTATCCATAAAATATGACTGGACAATCCTGTCTTTGAGTAATCATATTTAAATTATTTCATCCAATCATTTTGTAGTATTGATGAAAAATATGATTATTATAATGATATCATCATAGACAAGAAATCTGTTTTTGGTACTTCATTCAAGATTCTAGTCATCAATGCCACGTTCATCAAACACTGATCAATTTCTATTCCAATATTATGTCTGGACAATGTTGTCTCGAATTTATATGAAGTCATCCAGACTCTATAGTAATGACTGCAAAGTCTGTTTTTGGAATTTCTTTTATATTTTACTCATTCATTCCAAGTTCACCATACCTGGATAATGCTGATATATTTACTAATTTGGTCATCCAAACACATCCAATAATCAATCACTTAGTTATTAGCTATTTTTAGATTATGACGCAAGATTTGTGTTTACCAATTAAGGATTTAAAAGGAGTGCCTATAAGTCTATTAGGATCACAAAATGATAATTTCACCTAATCAATTCTTAATTCTAACAGTGTGAAAAGGTGAGATAAGGTGCCAGGGTACGCACAGCGTTTATGTGCAGGTTTATCAATTCAGTATAAAAAAGAAGAAAACATTGAAATCTTTCAATTTCTATAGCACCGGACACAATACCACATTTAATCACTGATTAATATATCATCTGTTTTTATTATTAGAGAAATATCCATCAGTTAAATGTGCTCAACCTAGTGGACACCTCTAAAGCTCCAGGCAGGCCTGTCTGCAAATAGTTCCTTATTTACAATCCTACTCAGAGACAGTAATTGGATAATGACTTGCTAATTTTACCTTTGTTCCTTTCAATCAAAATTATGTGTCTGATTGTTCCCAATACTATAAATTAAATCAAATACAACTAAGTCAATCTCTTCCTTCATTTTCAAACATCCAATTAATTTTTTATCACAAAAAAGCTTGAATATCCCAATAGTCTCCATTCTCAGCAGGACACTTAAGAGCTCCAGGCAGACATGTCTGGCTCATAAATTAACAATAATATTCAGAAATTCAAAAACATCCAAACCAAAGACATGTAAAACCTAGCATGACAATATTGGAGCCCAAGGCAGACATATCTAGCAAATACAATCAAAACAGCAACAAAGAATCTAAACTATGTAATTAACTTTTGACATTCGTTAATTTTTCCAACCTTTCAATCCAAGACTTATCTTCAATTCAATATTACATGCGATAATTCTCAATCACTTCAATATGATGACAAGTCACCCGACGCCGACTGGAATTCGATTTTGTTTTGAATGAAAATATTTGAATTCATCTATCATATATTCAATATAGTAGAATGATTGTAAATTTCAATAGCGATCTACATGTAATTATTATAACAATAAATATTATATTATTATAGTATTAATATAGCTTAATATGTCTACAAACTAGTCACTTGAGATTTGGATTTTACCAACTTATATATTATTCGAGTATCAAGTCCATGGAATCTGTAGTTTAAATATGATAATGATTTATCCAGTGGCAGAGCTAAAGGGGCAACTCGCAGCAACAAAAGTAAGTTTTTCAAAGCAAAAATCTCATAACTAGGTTAGATATTCAGGCAACCTCAGATATTTCTCTGTTATAATGGATGAAAAAACCAATCGTCTCCAACCAAACATAAATAATACTTCTTCGATGTCAACTCCTTTCACCTGCATCTTCAGAAGGGAAATCTGGTTTCATATTTAGTTGAGATGTGAATCATATGTCCATGAAATTTCTTTTGATGGTAGTAAGGTTTTACGAATAAGTTTCATCATCTTGATTTCTTAGCTCGGAACTTATTTGTCTCACAAAAAGCTACATGTCAGCCTCTTTCAACCTGCATCATTGACAAGAAATACCCTGGTTGATATTCAGATAGGAATAACAATGTTGATAAGAAATTCATTTACATGACATCAAGGTTTGTAGTTCAGTAGGTCACAACAGTGTTTCTAGCTACATTAATGATAAAATAATAAACTCATTCAAAGCTTGACAAATAACAGAAACCTAGAATCAAATAATTTGTCTTGACATCAATGTACCCCCTCAGTTTTCCTTCTGTTTTTAAATAAACTCATTTTTAAATGTTGAAAATTCAAAACACATGTATGTATGAGTCACACTTTTGGAACCATGTAAGAGTTTTTACATTCACAGACAAACAATTATTCTAAACTTTGTTCTTAAATATAAAAAAAAGATGTTACTATAAATTTTGATCAAGGAAACAGATAGAGGGCCACAGAGAGCGAAACTAAATACCAAATTGTAGCACTTCAGACTTTTTTTTGCAACTTATCACACTGTCAGTTTATTTTAAAAAGCTGTGGCATTTCAAATTCAGGCAAGATATAACTCAAGAGGGGATCTACATGATTGAAAGTTTCATCTTCTAAATCTTGGTACATTTTAGAATACTTTTCCATCTCTCAAAATCACAGTCTAAATGTAGTAAATTTCACAAAAAAATGTGGCAAGTACGAAAAAATTAACATAAGTTCAAGAAAGATTTTCTTGGACAAAATTGTCATGTAAAATTATCTGAAGGCTTTTGGTTAAAATATCATTACTATTACTGTGGTTGATGTCATTAGGAGGCAGGCCATGATAGCTCTTCAAGAACGCCTCTATTCATTCTGCAAGTGTCACATAGGGTTTGATTTAGGAGAGTCCACATAACTATTGCAACATATCTTCTCATATTACCATTATGAAGCAATGAACACCAGTAAGAGTCGCATACTCAATGAATGAGTGAATGAATTATCATACATGAATGGTTTAGAACAGCAGGATATCTTGTACTTACTCCTCACACAAATTCTTGTGGTTATCAGAGACTAATAGACTAATAACCTGAAACCTTAAACCAATAGGAGACCACTTTCTTATCACAACAAGGATGGTCAGAAGATCATTGAGAAATATTTGTGGTCTAGTGCCTCCTGGGTATAAATAATTGACCATTGATAAGAAATGAATGTTCAAGACTGGCCAACATACAACATAGTTGAGGTCTGCTGGGCAGATGACAGAGAATAGAATTTCCAATACTATACTACACATTAACCATATTTGTGGTCAAATTACATCTGCATATAATTGGCAAATTATATTCAAAGTTTAATCCCGCGCAAGTTGTTGACCTTTTTAATGTTATATTCTAGCGAAACCTACATAAAACATATTTAAGGCGTATTTCAGGCAGGGGATCTTCCTTACCATTAAAGAACAACTTTTCAAAACTACACTGTGTTTGGCATGGGTGGTGAATGAAAAGTTAGGATCACTGTGTCACTATATCACTATATTGACATATTTCTATTCCTGACCCATGACCTGTACCTTCAAACAACAATTAGATTTAATTTAATGTGATCCACAAACACCAAATACAGGGCACCGGCTGTATAATGGAGAGCTCATGAGAGTTCCAATCCAACTGAGAGAGTTAGTGGTTTGCATGTGTAAGTTCTAACCATTCCCACACAAGCAACAGTCATCTCAATGATGGTATTCCAAACCATTCCCATACAATTCAAGGGAGGTAATTATGATTAAGAAATATTTGTGGTCAGGTTTGATTGAAGTTATAAATAAACAGAACATATGTTTATCAGCTAGAAACATGACTTAAAGGTGTATCATTATCTCCTTGTGGTTAAAATAACTGACAAACTAGATCAGGTTTAATGGCTGATTTATGATCTTGTCAGACCAACCTTGGTTCATTCATAGCCAGACACGATTCTTAATCTTAAAGGGATAGTAAAGAGGTTTATATACATGTACATCAGCTAATAGCCAAATCAATGTCCAGTCATGTCTGAAATCAAATCCACAATGCATAGGGAAGCTGTGAGTTGGACGCTTGCTAGCTAACCTGAAGGTCCAAGGTTCAATTCCAGCAAAGTTAAAGATAGTATGTATATTGTATATCAGGGAGAAATGGCTACAGGTTGGAAAGGTGTCTAGTCGTTCAGATGGAACAATAAACTGAGCCTTTAAGTGCTACAGGCTGTACACGTCCTAGACAATTGGAAAACAAAAAGAGTAGGCTAATACTACTGTCCTATAAAAACTACCGTCTATCCAGACTGCATGGCGTTGCCTGTCTTCATTAGTCCAATAAGTTGCAGAAGAGTAAGACATAAAACTCTGTTCATTTCATTTTCATTCAGACTGGTATAAATAGAAAAGATAATTTGTGAAGGTAGCAAATTGATATCCAAAATCTTTTCACCATTCTTAACAAGAAATCTAGTTTTTTTGGGCAATTTGACTTCAATCTGACTTGTATGAATAGAAACGAAGTTGTAAATGTAACAATCTATATGATCAGGTCAGTGATGGAGGTTGAGGTGACCACTGTAGCAGGTTGAAATAATCATATCAATATAAATAATATGTCTACTACATACTCTTTCATTATCTTTATGTATTTATTTATGATTATTTTTCCATGTAGAAGAGGAAAATCGATGTTTCAACTGTCATTTTTAAAATAAATCTTGGTGATTCAATTACATTTTCTGTACCAAACTCTGCACTAGATTCTGCAGAGAAAGAAGGTCAATAGTACCAGACAGCTTAGGAAAAATCAAGGGGACAGAACTCAAAATTAACCAGATTGACCATTTCATGTTGAACCCAAATGTTTTTCAAAATAGTTCTCAATGTTTCAATTACATGTCCTCTAAAACTGAAGTCTGCACTACAGGGTCAAAAGAACCAGGGCAGTATTCTCAATAACTTAATCCAGGTTGTCTGAAATTCAGTAATTTGATAGGATTATGGAATTCTTGAATATCATGGACACCATAGTAGAATTAAAAGAGCCATAATCCACAGAAGTTTTTTTAGAATTTCAGGAACCACTTTTATCGGTGTGTAGAATGATGCACCATAAAGTGTAGCATATACATATAAACAGGCCAGACAACTACTTATAAAAACCTATTACCTCTGACTTACATTTCAATTGATATCCACTTAGGGCAGTCAGTTCTGTCTGGTGATTTGTGGTTTGGAAGAGAATTTGTCAGTTTTATCCACCTGATCCTTTAAAGGTTTAAATTGACAAGACAGCTATTGGTTTGTAGAGAAATAATCTAATAAAGGAATCAATTTATTGCCACTTCTGCTAGAAAACTATCTATACATTGACTTTTATATAGACAATATTGACTTTATACAGGTCAGGGGGTCTTGCCCTCTCTCAGATTGATAAAGGTTGGCTGGGGTCACAACATGGCCATATAGCACACATGCGAAATAATAGTCCAATATCTCAGACTTTGTAAAATTCTAAAAAGTTAAAATTTGATTGCTCGGAAACATAAAGAATTTGATGTAATACATGAATATGCAGCAGGAAAAATACCAACCTTTATGATTGCAAAAAATATGATTGGTTGACATAATAAGAATGATAAATTAGCCAATCAAAGACGTTAATTTTGAGGTTAAAACTATGATGCTTCCAACAAATGAATGAGGAAAAAAAAGTTAGTTTTTAAAGAAATAATTTGTTATAATTATTAACTTACCTTTAAGGAATGTGACACAGGTAAAGACTTGTGTTAATTTATAGAGTAAAATATAAACAAAGTTATCATCGGTAAAATATGACGGATCTTCCGTACACTGGTCGTAGACTATAATATCCCACGAATCATCTATATCAATCTGACAAGTCTGGGTTAGCAGGTCTTTTACACGCACCTGAAATAGACAAAATGAATGAATGAATGAATTAATGAATGGAGGAATAAATGAATGAATGAATGTAGAGTAAATTTTTAACTTCTATCTTAAATTAATGGCATTGAACGAGGTCCTTTATTTATATCAGCCAAATCAAGGTCAACCAGTCTTTTGAATTCCTACAAAAGTGCTTACTTGTAATAATATGGTATATATAATTCTTTTTAACTTAATTAAAGTAAAGATTAGACGGCAAAATTATTTGTAGTGATAATAATGTATGTAATAGAATGCAATAACAACTTGGCATGTACTCCCATGATTGAACATAAAAAATATCCTAAAGACCAAAATCAAAGCAGTAGATGTAAGAGCTTTAATCACACATGACTGGTATATTACAATCATATCAACATCCCTGGATAATAAATGTTATAATATGTAATAACTGCTTTGATGATATTTATACTATTTGAATAATGATCTTTATCAGCGTGTATCACTGTATAATTCATATCAATTATTTTATTTCTGTATTTACTTGATTTATAGCAACTTTTACTTTCATGTATAGATTTGTTTGAAATGAGCAATACCAGTATATGAGAAAGACTTTAAAGGGACATGAACACATTTCGTTTTGACCAATCATACTTAAGTCTCTGAAACAGGAATTTATGAGCTAAGCCAATCAGTAATAGTGTTCACAGTTTATTGCAAATTCCTAGTTTGAGGTATTTTTGAAGGTATTTTGTGATTTTCGTACATTTCTAGTACTTCTGAAGGCCATCTACATATTTTCAAGACTTAATTCAACCCCCAAAATGGCGCATCTGTCCCTTAAAGGATTATTCAGAGGTTTTGTAAGTTTATATAAGTAGTGTAGACATTTACATTACATAGAATTACACCATTCTAATTTTAAGTCAGACATCTGTGGATCTTGCAATTCCAATAAAACTAAGTGATTATGATGTCACTATCACAAAAGCTGTTCGTCTATTATTTCTATAATTACAGGAATCTCAGACGTCTGACACAAAGTTAAAATGATGCAAATATAAGCCACATAAGTCTAAATGTAAATTGCTCTACAAAAGCAATATTTTACGATCCTAGTCCTAATCAAGATATTAATTAATGACAGAATAGCATATTGTACGCAATATATATTTTTGATATTGAAATTTCTAAGATATCATCTTTAAAAGCTTGGCCATTTATCATAGTTTATTCTTCCTCAACGGCCATTCTGTACTCTCATACGAACTGGGCTATCAAGTATCCCTAGATATTGACTCAATCTTATATACATTATTGGAATCTTTTCAAACTTGTTCTGTTCACCCCACAATTACCGAGCTCCAATTACAAATTACAGTTAACACTATAAATATTTTCTTATCTTTCTTCAGTACCTATTTCTATTTACTGTGATACATGAGTAAAAAATGTCAAGTACCAACAGATGAGTTCACACATACTGACAATATAAAACACACTTGTTGGAGTTGGAACATACACTGTCAGTGGCAGAGCATGAATAGCACATTTACAGTACAGGTATATGTGTTCATGCATATTGTGCTCGAAACACATACAATTTCAGTGCAAGACATTTAACTTCAAAGTACTTTCAAAGAGCAAAAATTTCAGTTTTAAGGGGTCAAACATTTGAATGCATTTAGAGCACAAGACAGAAACACTTCATAGACAGATACTCTAATGAACTATGGTTTACAGTATTTTCAATTTGAAATAAACCAAAAGAACCTGTTTGAAGGACCAGACAAGATATCCAGCTTTTACTTTACTAGTTACTATGTCAGCTTTCCCCCACCCAGACTTCTTCCATCTTCTGACATAACAAATGCTATTTCAGTATACTAGTTTATTGTAAGTACATATATTTACTATTCTTATAAAATGTCCAGTACATCCTGACTCATCCAACTAACATTTTGACAAAACGCCCAGTTTGTCTGTACAAAGGTTGAGTAATTCGGCCAAATATACAATAACAATAAACCGAGAAGGCTCTATATATTTTTCTAGTGACTAATACTGTACTTGGCACGATTGGTACCAAGGTCCAGCTTTAATAGCTGTCAAAATACTTTCCCTGATGTAATGTTTACATTTGTCATATGACCCTCTAAAAAAAAGGACATTGATCACAATTGCAATTACATAAACCACATGTCCATAATAACCAATATAGGCAGATGCTGATAAGTGTTTGCACCTGAAGAAGCAGCTATTTTCAACAATACAGCAATTCATAACCCCAGCTTCAAACTTCAATGGCCATAAGACTCATTTCATGTCACGCTTTAGCTTGTTGACTATATATTTATTTTCCCTGTGTGATTTGTCCCTCATCTAATATAAGATTGCATTTTCAGTGACTGGGCTGGGTTTACATGCATGTCCAAAATATTTTAAACCGGATGACCTTATGACAGACCATGTCCGAAACATGTATCATGAATATAAAATGAGCTCTTTGAAATTAAAATTAGCCTAAAAAACGTAAGTCATACCTTGTAGCCTAGTCATATTCTGACAGGCGATTACTAACATACCAAAAACAATTTGTATAAACTAAATATACTATTTTAGTCCATTACTAAGGCCAAAATTATGTAAGCATTGAGGTCAAATTCTTGTGGTGATACTGTGTCCTGTATTTAGTTTTATTTCTAACACGTGTTGGCAGTAATAATATGAGTTATTGTCTAGAATCTTTGAAAATATTCAAACTTTCATAAAGCTCAAAATCAGCTGCTTTTTGAAGGTGGTTTCTCAATGAAAGGCCAAACTGGCATTATGATGATATTTTAAGACACACCTGAGAGTCTGATTTCAGAGCAAAGTTCACTATATAATATTATTAATAATTTCTATGTATTTCCAAACAGAAAATTGAAAGTAGAGAAATTCCAGACCAAAGTCTCAAACTATTGTACAAATGATGGAAATATGCATGAAGTAGAAAATATATGTTTTATGGCCTCGAGGATTTATCCCGTTTTTTGTGTTTTATCTTGGTATAAAATAATATGATAATATTAGCATTACTTAAAAATCATATTAAATTTCTAGAGCTACTAAATCTTTCATTTTTAAATTCAATATCAAATAAATCTAATGTTTTTTATGCAAAATCAGGAATAGCCTAGGTTTTTGAAGTAAATGTGTTAACATTTTCAACAAAAGTTTACTAATCAAAAACAAGAATATAATTTTATATCTTAACATAATTGAATTAATTTCATATTTTGGTCTTTTCATCCGTCTGCTCGGTGTTTCATAATGATCAGCTTGAATCATGCTGTTAATTAGTGCATTTTCTAATTAACGAGCCAAATATTACAACATTTACAGACAAAATATACAAAGAGAATTTTTAGTTTTACTAAAGTTTAACTCAGTCATCTTTAAAGCTATCTTTTTTTCCACGAAAAAATAAGTTATAAAAATGAAAAACCATATTTTGAAAGATAAAAGTTCGCTTTCTTCCTCTTAAAAACTGATAAGGGTGTTATTTTTAACCTGTTCATGATAAATGTAGAAATCATTTTATCCTCATAGTGGTTTGTACATGGGTAGTAAATCATCATTTTTCATTAAAAAACGTCACAAAACAATTTTTTTTCCTTTCCTTTTAGAATTCAAAAAGTACAGACTAGTAGATTCAATTTTCACTACACTACATTTTCAGATAATAATAGAATATAGTTACTAGTAATTCATTGTCTTTCGGCTAAATTTTTCCATGTTAACGTTCACAATTGGTATATGAGGACTTGTTACTTGTGTATTTATGTTTGTCTGGAAAGCCTGGCGTTGTAAAGCACATACCACGAAGCAATTTGATAGCATATCGTGGCAGGGCATATTGCAATGTATCACTTCACTGATATATCGTGCCAGTTCTACTCAAAAACAAAGTCAATTCTTATGCTAATTATAGACATTACATCTTGTACTTTTAGCATTACAACAGTTGAATTACATGAAACTAGAGAATATGTATTGAACAGGGTTATATTGATATACAACTGGGTATAAACAAAAGAACATGAAACTCTTTATGACAATATTGCATGATAAACTTCTATATTTTCTCTCTGATGATATCATAATATTACAGGTACTATCTACAGGTTATACACTGTAAATTTGATCTCTATATGCCAAGCCAACAAACTCAAGTAACAAAAATGAAACTCAGCAACTCTTGAGTTCTGTGATCAAGGCATTCACTTCAGAGTTCAAACAATTACAAATGTTTGATCTTTATATGCCATTCAAGAATGTAGGGAAGAAACTTTGCATCTCTGAGTTTGTGATCAAGACAATACCTTCAAAGAAGACACAGCTTTTCATGTTGTTTATTGCCTGCTTATTATCATGTCACTGGCTGGTCAGGGTATCCTTGCAGTTTCTAAATTCCTGATACCATTCTGTGACTCCGCTTTGGTTGATCAGTTGTCAATATCTTATTTTATATTTGGAAAAAAACTTAAATTACGTTATGTTCTGTTGTGAAAACATTCAATCAAGAGTTCTGATCTTGAAATCGTAAATTTTCATAGTATTCGGGATTAGATATAATGTATATTAAAAAGGTATGAATGAGGAAATTTGAGACGCTACTAAAAAAAATTATAGTTAATTATAAAATCTATTTCTATTTCATGACCTGAGTTTAAACTTTCATAGAAAATAGAACACATTATTCCAAATCTTATAAATGCTTTTAATTGGCTGATAATTTGAACATAGCCTGCAGATAATGAAATGGAGCTATATAATTGGTTACCTGTAATAAATATAATATGCCCTGAAGAAAAGGAAATGAAGGGTTTTGATTGGTTTACTATGAGTCATAGCTATTAATTGTATTAACTATATTGATTACTAAATGAAATATGATCATATTATTGATATATTTTACTACTAGTCTAGTATACCTCTGGGCACTTCAAAGCTCAACATAAACATAGATGATATCACAAATACCTTATTCAAAGACAATCTGAATATATTGATGCAAATGCACTGAAATGGTTTTTGCAGCCTTTCCTCTTGAATGTTGCTAATGAATAGGCTAAATTCAAAGCTTGAACTTTAAGCCATATAATAGGATCCTGTCTAACAACTAGATCTTGGCTAAATCTCTTTGCATTGCTCTATTCTTGATTATCTGTACCCATTTACAGGTAGGTCGACCAGAATGATGAGGAAAAAATTATTTATTCAAGGTAATCAGGTTTACACAAAACCGACCAAGATTAGAAGCAACGACCACCATTTATTCAACATCCTGTCCTCAATCTTGTAGGATGTATATTTCTACATCATTTCAGTTGAGCACTATAATGGCTATATGACATGCTTTTAATCAAACTATCAACTAGTGCTTCCAAGCATTCATGTGATAAAATCAGAATGATAATTGATGGAGATCAAAGCAGAACAGTATCAGAAAATATTTCTCAATATCAAATAACACGAGATGAAATATTATTGTTCTAAAAGCATGAAATAGCGATTATATAAAAATATCAAAGAGCAAAGGTTAGGATGAGATATCACGACCATTAAATGATGATTGGTATGCAACAACGTTGCAATCATTCTAGCATGGTTCGAATAATAATTTCAATAATTTTGCACGGCAAGGGATGTAACCATTATTCATTTGATTGTGGCTGACCTCATAAATTAAAGAGTTAATTACACTGTGATTTATAGCAATCAAATCTTGCACAATAATAATTAACTGTAATCAATGTTATATTTGGAGGGATATGGCCATCTAAATTTTTGCTTTTACACCTGATTGAGACTATCCATATCACTTAATTGAAATACAACATACGTTGAGAGTAAATTGTTCTTAATTGGTTTAAACATGTTAGCATTCAATTTTATTGCTATAATAGTTTGTAGATTTTTGCAATAAAAGAAACATTGTCTTAAAAATTTTTTGTTTTTATCTGATTGTGTCCAACCAAAATAGATAAATGATTTACAACAAACATCATTACGTTTGGCTTGTTTGTAACTCAAAAGCATTAGTTCTCCATAAGTATCTTTGAGTGACTACACGTAACTGAATTCTGAATTAATTGCGAAGTCTTGGTTAGAGTTACATACCTTGCCTTGTTGTAGTCTTCGTTTGACCAGTTTAGAGCCACACACATTAATCGCCTGTTGGATGTGACTGGTATTGTATTCTAGAAACGAGCGACTGTCAACTAGCAGAATCTGAAAAATAGAAAGATAAAAATATATATTAATCCCTCAATTTCAATCATACTGCCATGATGGCCTATAACAGTATATCTTTGGGATGCAAAGAGCAACTATATCTATCACTATTGTCTTTTTGCAATGCTTTTTCACTATACTTTGTGTCTTTTATTGAAAAATTTTTTTCCTCTGTCTTTTTGACAGACTACACCTTCAATGACTATACATAGTTAAAACAAAGGCAGGGTATCAGTAAGTGTAAATATTTAGATTTAGTTTTTAAATATATTTGTATTTTGCCCAGGGTATTTGATTGTTACTGATAAGCAGACTAAGGTTTGGAAGCTCAGTTTTAAAGGCCTTTCTCATACAACCTAATTTCAAGATAATTTGATGCTGTATTAAAGCCATGCATTATGGTAGAAAGTTCATTGATGGCCTGGAGGGGACAGCAGAAACAATGCTGTAAAATGCAACCCTGATGGTCCTAGGGCATGGTAGAGTAAGTCTTTGGAGAATAGCTAGAGGCCAACCTACCCTCAACTTTCCAGAGCTCCAAGAGAAGTCATAAATTCATCAGTGATAAATCAGAATATTGAATCACTGTAATCAAGTGTAAAAGAACGTAGAAATTAAAAACTCTGATTCAAGAAGATGTACTTTGATGTCTCGCCTCATAATAAAATAATCGTTGAAAAGAAGAAAAAAATCTAAGACATTGAATCGTTTTTATTCAAGTTGGTAATGATCAATGTTGACTCTTTAGCCTGAATGTTGAATCGTGTCTGGCGGTCGGAAACAAGGAATTTCATCCAGTTTAATATGATTTTAAAGATGTCTGGTATAATCTTATATTTTATTACCAGCGTTTTATCTCTATTAAAAGCACATTAAAAGGACACAGACCTGTGATTTTGTACTTCTGTTGCGAAATTAGACTTTAAATTTGAATATGACATTCTTAATTCAGAGGATGATTCAAAGTAAGTGGGTTACTCAAACAATTATATGCATAAATACAGGATGGTACTGATATCTGTTGTGAGAGCTTATATGTGAAAAGAACATATGTTAAGAAATATATTCCCTAAGTTAATATCCCTATCAAACATCCAAAGCTTAACTGGCAAAAACATCAAGACTCCTGATTTAAATCAATGATGTAAAGCTAGAAGCAAAATAAATAGACCATATGAAAAATTGCCAACCAAGCATCTCACAAAACCAATATTTGAGTCTACAAATTTCTAGAGCAGTCAGACTCTATTAAAATCTACTTTAATAAATTGTTCAGTAGGAAATCAATGGGGACATTTACATTATAATTTATTAAACTGATTACTCTATTACACTCTATATTATATATCATGCGTAGAAAACTACGGGGAATTTATTGTTTATATTTTAACATTTTTTTGTATTATTATAAAATGTAAACAAATTTAAATGAGATCTTTAAGACTCAATCTACATTTTTACAGGAAGTAGACAGCCCTTAAAGTAACCAGCAGTATCAAGAATTTAAATTCATACATTGCTATACACCTTGAAAAAAAAAACCCAGATGTAAACAGATCCAGGATAGCCATATTACCCAACTTATCATTTATAATCTATCAAGCTGATGTCTCTACTAGTGACGTCAATAACAGTACGTCATATCAGATGATAGGGTATTATCATTAATAGGGTCATTTACCTGACATATTGACAATACTGTACTGTCATGTGACACTTGACAAGTCAAGGTGTGGTGAGCAAATTTAAAACCTAAAATCTGTAATTTGCAGACTGATGGTGCCTAAGCTGAATAGTGACTCAGGAAAAGCAAATGAACATCATTAAAGAAATATATGGCAAATAGTTTACACTAGTAAAGTAATCTTCCACATGTCAATTGAAGCTTTTAATCTGTATTTTTTCTTAAAATTATTAATTATTAACAGGTGCCCCTTGGAGAAGCAGGTTATGCATACTTCTTTTATCAGTGTTACACAACACTATTCTGACTAGTGAAAAGTATTAACATTGTTACTCCTTTAAATACATAATGCTATTCTATAACTAGAGTTGTCATATGAGACTCTTTATATTTTGATATATTTGTTGACAAATCCACGTCATCAAGTGACATAAGACATGTCAAGGTAAGGTGAAGGTGTGTAAGGAAATTTCTATAATTTCTAAAAAAAATTATGAATTAAGCTTGAAATTTAGATTTGGCAAATTGTCAATAAAAAGTAAGTCAGTTACGCAATAGATACCAGAGTATATTAGACACATGTTGGAGACTACTATAACAGTATTGTGTAGGCAGACAGGAAGTCTCATATTAAGTCTTATTATTCCTTATTCTTCTGCGATTAACTGAACTAACTGCACCAAATGAAATAAAATTGATTTCCGACAATTCTAGTCTTTGTGTAACTTTTATCAGTAGATCAGTTTCACCATATAAAATGAGTTCATATCCACCGTGTGAAATTTCTGTCCAATTATTCTACGCCTTACTGAATGACTATTGTTTTTATATTTAGTTGGTTAAAGATTTGAATTGAATAGATTGTTTTGCATCTTGCTGAGCTAATGAAGGTGAGTTTCACACCCAACAGCTCAGTTGGAAGCAAGTTGGATTGTCGTCAAATTAAGTTTGATTTCCGCTTGAGAAAATTCTGGTGCAAGGACTAGTGTTTCAGAGAATCTCCCTGGCCTGATGTCTGCTGTCATCACTTGCAGCCCAAAGATTCTGTACCTTATTGAATTAATACATGTGATTATCTATTGAGAAACTATCTGAACTCTCTTACGCAAGTTCATCGTTCTGCATTTTGGTTTGAAAGTTAATGACGTAATAAACCAATTATATAAATTTTTCCATGAAAAACATAAAAATGCAGAGATAAAGATTTTATCAAAAGTATTAGTTAATTACCTTATGTCATATATTAAATAATAACTCAGTCAATTCAATAAATACAAAGAAATATCTCAATTATTCATTGACTGAGTACAACTATACAAAATTATTCATACAAATCCATTTATCTGACTAATGAAAAAACTAGTTAAATTATAAGGTAGATAGTTTAAAATGATGAATCATTTGTATAAAATGATGAATATTCATAGATATTAGGCGTTTAAGGACTGGTTAGGGTTTTTATAGGGGTTTGGACCACCTTTACATTGACAAAAATATAGTTAGTTCCTCCTTAGGTTAGATAAATTTTCTATGGCACAGCCTTTGCCTCTGACAGTGTCTCTTGTCAACACCCTATATTGCTTTCACTTTGTTCACCAAATATGTCCATATTATTTCTACCTACTCATTTCACTCATTACCTTTTCCAATATCCACTTACAATCTTTATTTATAATATCAGTAAAAACCTGAATTTTTGTAACATTAATCCTTCGCTTCAGTATCTCTTAAAACAGGTTTTGCTTTTAATTCCACATACTACACATTGCAAAATTAATTATAAAACTTACATATTATAGTCCTGTATCACTTTTAAAATATCCAGTGCCACAAACAACACAAAGCTAATATAAATAAACAATTAATAAACTTAATAATCGACATAAACTTTTAACTGGATCACCTGAAACATATTTTCCTTTAGTTCCAAATATAACAAGTGTCTATAATATCTATAGTTAATATAATCACTATTTGAATTACTATGAATCAGTAGTCAGTGACTATATCCAGTCCAGTCACACCTTGGTGAATAATATTTTATTAATATGTCAAATTATTATTATTAAATCATCGTTACTTGTTTTTTCATGTTGTTGACTACAGAATGACTGTTAAATAGTGCCACTGATCCTGTCATAGTATAGCTTCTGAGCAACAGTATGATTAGGTCATTAGATGACTGTCACATCATAGCCTAGCTTCTAGGCTACATTGTGATAAGATCATTGGTATGACTGTCAGAGGCTTGCATGTGGGCAATATACTGACTTTGCATCTGATTTTTAAAGAACGATAATAAAAGACCAACAACTATATTTAACATTGACAAAAATAAAGAATTTTTAAATTTTTACAAAGATGCTATGAACTTGTTTAATCATTTGAGCTCTTAAACTCTTATTGTGCTTGGTATTGCTAGCATGGCAGGGTACACTCACTTTTCTAGAATACATACAAATGAGTTTGTGAACTCAGCATACCTTTGTGAGAGTACACATTCCCATTACTGTTTATGTTGTCTGGACCATATTTGCCTATATAAGTTTACCTTAGTCTCAGAAACAGGCATAATTTTTAAGGAATTATGCAATTTGTGTACATTTCTAGTTGTTCTGAAGACTATTTACATATATTCAAAACCCAGATCAACTCTGGATAATGGCGAATCTGTGCCTTCAACAAGACAGTGTCCCATTTAGGGAATCCAATGCATGTTTTTAACAGAGTGTAAAGAAATTTCCCTTCAATAAGATTCAAATTTTATCTCATAGTGGTAATAAGAAGTACTCCATGCCTTTATTGATCATGTATATCAATGCCTATAATCAAAGGTTGGTATAAATGAATCAGCCCCTATTACTGTCTGTTGTTAGGCAGGGTAACAAAATAAACACAACTAATAGTCATACAAGTTAATCATAATACCCCATTTTAAAATGACTGTTTCTTCAATGGATCATTTATATATCAGTGGGTCAAATCCATTAATGGATTTTTAATATGGAGGATTATTTATTTTCACAGGAATATTTTATTTTTTTTTAAATAATCAGTAAAATCTGGGATAATTTCATTCAAGAATTAAGTTATGATTTTAGCATTTCAATTTCGAAAGGACAGACCCAGTTTTGGAACAGCAGAACACTAGGCACATACTGCTGTCCTGGCAAACTTTCCTTCATTGCAGAATGCATAGCATTACTTTTCCTCTTCAACCCTCTTTTTATTTCCTGCGGATCATGTGATTTGTAGAAGTGAGATTAGCATATTCATAAAAACATGCAATATTTTGTCATATTAAGTTACT